ACTTTTCCTGTGTGAGGGTTATAAACCAGGTATGCTGGGCTATTTTTACTATAACCCACAAATATTCCTTTTTCACATCTGGGATCAAGTTTCTTGTGATCATGTATGTATGCATAACAGTCTGACCCAAATATCCACAGTTTTGAGAGATCTGGTCTTTTCCCTGTTAACATCTGATAAGGTGTACTTTTAGTTCTGTTACTGTAGCATCTGTTGCGGATGTGTGCTGCATTTTGAATGGCGTAAGGCCATAATTCTTTTGGCAGCTCTTTTTCTAGTAAAAGACACCTCCCCATTTCAAAGAGAGTTCTCCATTGCCTCTCAGCTGTGCCATTCTGATGGGGAGAATATGGCGCAGATGTCTCATGCTTTATACCCTTTTCCCTTAAAAGAGACTGGAAGGAACTGCTTGTGAACTCGGTGCCATTGTCCGATCTAATGCACTTAACACTGCCGTATGGTGCACAGTCGGCTAGAAACTTTGCTGTGGCCTCTGTGGTGTCACTTTTCTGTTTTAGAAAGTAAACTGACACTGCCCCTGAAAAATCATCCGTAAATAATATAGCGTATTTATGACCACTTTGGCCGCTTGGTTCAATGGGGCCGGCTAGATCAGTGTGCACCAACTGTAATGGCTCATTCGCTTTTGGGTCGCTTTGTCTGTTTCTGTTGTTAGTGAACTTCCCTTCTGTGCACACATTACAATCTAACATGCCACTGCCTGTGATTTTCATGCCATCTACAACATCAGGTAGCTTTAACACATCACTAACATTACAATGTCCTAAAATTTCGTGCCATGTTTTCACATCACATGCCAGATTAACAGTGTCACAGGACATCATGTCATTGAATGATGTTTCATTGTTTACCGTTTTCAAATAGTAGAGTCTGTTGTATTCTTCGATGGAGAAGACTGTCCCATCTTTGTTCACTAGTTCATTCCGTCCCTTCTTGAAGACCACCTGTGCTCCATAGGTTGTAGCTGCCTTCACTGAAAATATGCTCTGAGGGTAGGATGGGATGAACAGAGCATCTCTCAGTGTGATGGTGGTACAGTGTCCTTGTATGTCCCGTAGAGAGACGTTGGCATCTCCCCTCTTGAGTGCGACGTTGTTTGTCCTGGATCCATCAGCGAGCTCCATGTAGTGTTTCTCAGGATCAAAAGTCTCATCAAACTTTATGAACTTGTTCTTCTCCGTAATGATGTGTGAAGTAGCACCACAGTCCACCATTAGTCCTTCTCTTATTATGTCAGTAGGCAGAAGTCTTTGACTAACTTTAAATACAAAAGTCTGCTCTTCTTTCTTGTCCTCTTGTTTTACTACAGTTAGTTTTGCATCATCTCTGTACTTGGTTTTTCTTCTACATGTCTCATCACTGTGTGTCAAGCTTCTATGGTAGCTACACCACTTAGGTGTTCCCTTTTGGCGACAATCTTTTACAAAATGTCCTCGGTTTCCGCATCCATGACAGGTGATTGATGTTAAATCAACCTTCATCACATTATCCGCTTTTACTTTGTTGTCAAATTTCTCGGTTTCCTCATAACTTCGTAGGTTGCTTTTGAACTGTGTGAATGTTAAATCATCACTGCTTTGAGTTGTGTGAATAGCAAATGGCTTGTAAGCTTCAGGAAGCCCCTTTAAAATCATAGCGATAATAAGTCCATCACTGATTACTTCTTTGGCATTTCTTAGGGAGGTCACTGCTTTTTCAGCTCGGATAATATAATCTGTCACTGTCTCATCTGGTTTCTTCTGTAAAGACGTCAGCTCTGTGTACAGTGCGATGATTCTGGGCTTGCCTTTACTATCGTAGTGGTCACGTAGTATTTTTAAAGCTTTTCTTCCGTCATCAGTCGCATCTCTCATTACCAGTGAAAGGCTTTTATCATCAAGAAACTGTATCAGTTCAGCGTAGCATTCAGCATTCTTCTCTGCATCTGGGTTAGTGGCTGATAATATAGTGTCCTTTAGGCCAATGATCCGCATGTGGCCGAGAAACTTTGCCTCCCAAAGTTCGTAACTGTTTTCGTCTCCGTTGAACACTAACCTCTGCCATCTTCCTCCTGTTGTGTCGCGCCTGGGCCCATAACCTGTTGAGCTCGAAGAGTTTTCTTCTTCTTCGGCCATGTTCTCTTAATAATGCACACACTTGGTTGGTTGATTACTTTTCCCGTTTCTTTTATTGTTAGCAACACAGCAGGGAAACCCATACATACTTCTCGCACTTCGGAACATAAGGAACAGGAAGTGAAGTAATCTGTAATCACCAAAATAAAATCCTTTCCAAAATAAAATGACAATCAGAAAACGTCTTTCACAACATAAAATAAATTAATATATTTACTCATGAGAACACAAATCTAACAATGTTCGTTTGTCATGCTTACAAAAATAAAAATGTAAATTAAAAACTTGGATGTGTAATACATTACTGAGTCATTATTGTTGGCTCTATGAGCCACGTCTAGATGCAGTTGAAGTGCAGACTTCCTGCTTTAATTTAATATATGATTGTAAGGGATTTTTTTTTTTTCTTTTTGAGAGCAATAGCTTTCAAATTCAGTGGCACACTTGGCATCAGTTTCGGACTTTTAAATACTTAACTGATGTTGAAATTGTGAATAAATAGCCCAGTCTTGCAAAAGAAACAGCAACAGAGTTTGGAAACAGGAAACCTATTAATTAATACATTTCTTATTTAAAAAAACGTATTAAAGTGACACACGATTCCATTGAAATAAGGGTTATATCCATAATATACAAATGTGACCTGAAAGTGATGTCAGTACCCAAACATGTATGAACATGTCACTGATTTTATTTCAGGGCAATGTTTTCATGCAGTAATCTTGTTAAATAAATAATAAATAACCTAAATTTGCCGAAGCAGATCATCTCCCTCCATTGTACCTTATCCCTAGCGTCCTCTCACACCAACCCTGTGTATGCTCTCCTTCACTGCATCCATGAACCTCTTCTGAAGTCTTTTCCTTTTCTTCCTGCCCAGCAGCAGCTCCATGTTCAGCATATAATAGCATTTAATTTAGGTTATCTTGGTCACTCCCACTGAAAATCTTCACCTTTGCCACATCCAGCTCAGTCTCATGTCTTTTTTTTTATCACTGTCACCATCTCCAAATTATGCATCATAGCAGGTTTCACTGATATCTTGTAAACCTTCCCTTTCACTCTTGCTCCTTCTGTCACAAATCATCCCTGACACTCATCTCCACCCACCCCACCCTGCCCTTCTTCTCTCTTGTGCACTGTCCTTTGCCTAGGATTGTTGACCCCAGCTATTTAAACTCATTCTACCTTCACTATCTCTGCTCCTTGCAGCTTCACTGTTACACCTGTCCTCTTATTCACTGACTTTCATTCCCCTTTCCTCCAGATTATATGGTCACCTCTCCGTGCTCTCTTCCACCTGCTCCCTACTCTCACCATAGATCACTATCACAATATCATCTGTGGATACATGCAGTATTACTGAATTACCCAATAAGGTATAACACTATATCTGTAAAAATAACGAATAACATTCATATGAGACATTTTTCTCCCTAATGAGTAGCTGCTTCAGCTTCTGATACTACTTCTTTAAAGTTGTTTACCGTTACAAGTTAAATGAACGATTTGTTTTTGTAGTTGAGGTTTGTAGTGTTGTTGCTTTTGCGCTCACGACCACTTTTTGAAATCAAATATTAATCGATTTCTTTGCCTTTTCCTTGACGTCACGATTTCCGTGCGGTCTCCTTTAAGGTTGCCACGGGTTACCGGCTCACATGTCAGAACGAGGAGAATTGACGTCAGTGACGGCTGTTGATTGGTTCTCAGCCGTATCCGGTGGGGCAGCGGTCCAGGGCTCGGGGAAAAAAATCGAAAAGAGGAGGAAGATCTGGTAACGGTGCGCTTTGAGAAATATCTTACATTCCGAGTCACCGTTTAAAGGCTCGGCAGGATTTTACCGTTTCTTGTGAGTACTCGTGTTGTTTTGGTTCGCGGAACATATGACCTCTGTATAGGTGAAATTTGTTTCCTCCGTCTCTCGTTTGTTTATGCTAGAACTCAAGATGGCGTCATTGGAGGAGCGCTTTCCCTTTGCACGGAGCTAGCGAGCTAGGCATCAAACCTGACATACATAAACTAGGCCGAAGGTAGTTTAGCAAACCTCTGATACGCGTGTTGCTCATTTGAGGGGTTTTCTGCTGCTTCTTCATATGTCGGGTTGCTTGTTTTATTAGCATTAATCTGCTCGTGTAAGTTACTTGACTGCAGCCGTCAGCTTTCTCGTGAAGCCTTCCTGACCTAGACAGTGTTACAGACAGGGCATCTGCTTCATATTTACTCTAACGGTGGTAGTATTTCACTACTTTTTAAACCATTAAATGCGTTATTACAATCCATCATCAACTATGCTCATTTGTCTGCTGTTTAGCAAGGTCATTGTGCCTCGCTGTTGTTTTGTTTAATTGCATAGTTAGTTTTAGGCGATGCTGCAGGATAGTAGCTGATTCAAAGAATCAACATTTAAATATAAATGTAACTATTTTAAGACATTTCAAATAAAGTAAGACTTTCTTATTGCATAAGACAGGAGAGCTTTCCTAGTAGAGGTTGCCGTAGCTCTTAATTTATACCACCTGGTCCGAAAACAGTATCGTTTACCACATAGTTATTCCTGTGCTGGGTTTAGATTAAAGCAAGCCTGCCAAGTTTCCACCACAAGCGTAGTTAGTTGTGCATAACGGCTGTGCGAGCTTCATCTTTGATAACATGGCTAGTAATCTCCCCTGGGCCTTGTCAGATTAGAAATTATCCGAATCCTATTATACTGATGCACATGCACGATACACTTGCAGGCACAGAATAGATTGTACTCTCACTCCGCAGGACTTGTTTACTCATTTACCCTTCTAAATGGCAGACATGGGTTACATCAGGACTTTAGAGGCCTTCCTGATTTAGACTACATAGCCAGATCAAGCTCAGAGCTGTCTGAAGAAACTTATATCACAGAGGCTGATCAGATGATCTAAGGAGCTGTCAGGCTATTTTGCTCAGCACCAGTATTGTGGCGTCAAATGTTGAAACCTCAATCATGTGCGCTTGCTTTTGGCCTGTTTTACATTTCACCATTCGTCTAAATTTAGGCCTTGTCTATGATAATGTTTCAGCCTTAGCCAGCTGCTCTATCATTGATAGAGGGCTTAATTCAGTCTGGGGGGAAAGAAAACTTGAACTGTTTTGTGTAAATAAAACCAAGAAAAACGGTGTGCTTGTTTTAGTTTTGTCGTGTCTGCCTGTGTGTGATCACATCATATGACCAGTTTTCGCTCCAGACAATTAGGAGCACTCGGGCTCCATAGTGACAAAAACAACATGCTGTGCTTTCTCACTCCGGCACCATTTTTCTCACATTCTCACATTTTTCTGTGTGTCCAGTTCACATTGAGTCGCTCAGGCTCTTTTACCCCGTGTCACTCTCTGTCCTCAGTGTTGTGCGCTGATGATCTGACACCATGCTTCTTTTCCTTTCCTCTCAGCACAAAGGTTAGAGGTCACAGAGCAGGGTTGCGGCTGTCGTCATGGCATCTGGAAGTACGAGCAGCGAGGAGGAGCGGAGCCTGAGGGAGTGTGAGCAGTACGTGCAGAAACACAACATTCAACAGCTGCTGAAGGACTGCATTGTCCAGCTGTGCACCTCCAGGCCAGATAGGCCCATGGCTTTCCTCAGGGAGTACTTCGAGAGGCTGGAGAAGGTTTGTGTGCTAATGTATGTTTGTGTCTTGGACAAATGCAAGCCATTTGTCAGTGAAGGGTGGGCATCTTATACCCTTGTATTGGACTGTACTACTGCCAGTTACTGTAACCTACCTTCTGATTTGTGTCACTTACAGTGACGCCAAAATTCATAGCACTTTAAAGCAGAATGATTATCTTTTGGTCCAGCAGGCTGACAGCACCTAACCTCCCACATTGACCTTTTTCTATTTACAGTTGGTTCTTGATTTTTAATTTTTTCAGCATGCAATGGGGGAAAACAGACAAGCCCTATATTATACCTTTTCCCCCTTTCTTTTATTTCTTTCTTTTTTTCAAAACACATCTTGTGGAAAAATATTTAGACCCACCAAATGTGCATGCACACTTGGAGAGCAGACTTCCAGAAAACTCTTGAGAAGTGGATGCTATAGTTTACTCTAAATATTAGTAAAATATTGCCAGCCAGAGTCAGCAATAGCTCATATGAAGGAACAGCGAATAAGTAAAACAATTAATTAGTAGTCTGGTTACTGTCAGATCTTTTGCAGATTTTTATGTTCCAGAGACAGGAAAATGAAATAATACCTTAGCTACTATTTTGTTTATCATATATTATTATTTTCTTCAACTGTAGTCATGATCATACATAGATGGACAGTTTCACAGTTTTTTCTTCTTCAGGTTTGCAGTTATTTACATTCAACATTCAGAACATTTGAGGCTTTCATCCATCTTTTTATCTATTTTCTTTCGCTTATCCAATTCACCATGGCAGTGTGGCTGTGGACTATTTCAGCTGCCACAGGGTGGGAGGCAGCGTGTACCCTGGACAGGTCGCCAGTCTGTCACATGAGGCTTTTGTCAATATTGAATTATAAAAGGTTAAAAAGTAATCGGACGCTTGGCTCCAAAGTGTTTCTTGAGCCATGCCATTTCATTGTATTCATTGCTGAAAAGAGCTCAGGAGTAGCTCAGAGGTGATTTAGAGATGATTTATTTGACTTAGAATAAGTTTAATTGTCTTGGCAATATGAAGAGTAACAAAATAACGATAGCAGAAGAAGATAATAATGATGAATCAAAATAAAAACATTACAAATATCTGGTTTGCCAAATGCAAATAAACTATTAGATCTAAAAGAGAAACTGTTGATGTAATTTGCATGGGAAAGACGACTCTTTTTAGTTTATTTTATTCAAATAACCCCATGGCTAGTCTAGATTTCTGTCCAGCACATGATTAAAATAAGACCAGACAACACAATTTCATAAAATAGTTACAATATTAATTACTTTTGTTTGTTTTCTAAACTCAATTTGTTTGTCCTTTTTTTTTGTGTGTTTCTATACACTAGGGGCCTCAGTTTTGGGCAATACAAATACTTAGTGTTTGTTATAAAAAGAATGTGGTTTCATGAATTCCTTCTGAAGAGTCTCAGCAGCATGCATGGTGCAAACAGGAAACATACTTCCTATTGAAATGCATATGTTTCAAAGTTGTACTGCCTGTAACAAAAAACATGAAAAATCTTGTTACGTACACATGAACAACTGGATAATGGGCTGCACCAGAACCTCTCAGGATTTATAAAAATTTTCAGACCCAGTGAAATCATCACAACATAAAGGCTACAGTCCAGCTTACAAAAACAAAAGGGCGAGAGTGGAACTCATAGATTTCACAATGTTATATGGAGTGATGAAGCAAAAATCGACCTCAGAACGATGGGAAGGGGAAAGTGTGGCTTGTGCACATGTGACTGCCAGTGGAACTGGGACAATAAAACGTATTGATCATTTCACTGCTCATAGAAACAACAGGATGAGTGTAGGGGTACACAGTGGCTTTTTGTGTGCTCAGATTCAACCAAATGCAACAAACTGATTTCACCTCATGTGAACTGCAGTCCAAATAAATTGCATATAAATCAAAAGTGTAGTGTCTGCAATAGAGGAACACACCCATCTGATGCATGCTGGAGGAAAACATTACCATGAGTCCTGAGTGTAGGATGCGTTGCTTTCTATCATACAATTAGTTGTGACTGTATAAATCTTGTTTCCCTGACTGACTCAGTCCTGTCCCTCCTATTTAGGAGGAGGCCAAGCAGATTCAGAACCAGCAGAAGGCCAGCAGTTCCCGTTCAGACTCTCGTGATGAAGAGGTGTCTCCGCCCATGAACCCCGTGGTAAAGGGCCGCCGGCGGAGAGGCGCCTTCAGCGCAGAGGTTTACACAGAGGAGGATGCCGCCTCATATGTCAGAAAGGTAAATGCATACAGCAGATACGACGCTATGGCACATATGATTTATATTTTGCCAGCATCCTGACATCTGCTTTCTTTTTGATTCCTAAGGTCATTCCAAAAGACTACAAAACAATGGCTGCCTTGGCCAAAGCTATTGAAAAGAATGTTCTCTTCTCACACCTGGATGACAATGAGCGGAGGTACCAGACTTAATATTTTTTATAATTTTAAAAAAGTATATTCGTGGGGATGATTTGGATGACTGGCTAACCTCTCTGTTTCTTTTCTTTATTTAGTGACATATTTGATGCAATGTTTCCAGTCACCTACATTGCTGGGGAAACAGTTATTCTGCAGGGTACGATTACAGCTTGTCAGCATTGATCATAAAAAAGCATTAACCAGAATCATAGCACGGCTTTCTGTCATGCTAACTGACTCGGCTTTATGCCCTCAGGTGACGAAGGTGACAATTTCTACGTCATCGACCAAGGAGAGATGGATGTGAGTGTTTGGATTGTCAAGTAGCTCTGTTAAATGACTCATTTAAAATCACATTTAACATTTGCAAGTATTTATTTTGGTTTATCCCTTTTCCAATCCGGTAGGTGTATGTGAACAATGAATGGGTGACCAGCATAGGGGAAGGTGGCAGCTTTGGAGAGCTGGCACTGATCTACGGCACCCCAAGAGCGGCTACTGTCAGAGCCAAGACCAACGTTAAACTGTGGGGCATCGACAGAGACAGCTACAGGAGAATACTTATGGTGAGGAGATGTGCGGCTGCGTCATTCATGCAGACCAGCGTTTCTAAAGCTTGAAGTTGAAATGTTTTTGATCTATTCTCGTACTGTAGATTCACTGTTTGCTCTTTTTTTCTTTTGCTGTTGTATTGAGCTAATTTCTTCTTATAGGTGTGCCATCGTTCTCATGTTCACACTTCTAATCCACCAGCATATTCTTGACGCTATGTTTGTTTGTTTGTTTGTTTGTTTTTCTTTTTAAGCATTTACACTTTTAAAAAATGTCCTTCTCTTTTAGGGAAGCACTTTGAGAAAGAGGAAGATGTATGAGGAATTCCTCAGAAAAGTCTCCATTTTAGGTGGGTTATTTGTTTTTAAATTAACCATATCAGAAATTAAAGCAGAGGAAGGGAAGCACATTACCTGTGTCTGTTGCTGAGATTAAAATGACCTGAAAAGAACTTTAAAAATATCTCACTTTTAAAAGGAAAAAAAAAAACAAGTTCAGAAGATTTTTTTTGGTTTGTTTTTTATTCTGTCATCATTATGTCTCATTATTAAACTTTGCTCTGCTCTCCTTCCTCAGAGTCGCTTGACAAATGGGAGCGTCTGACAGTCGCTGATGCCTTGGAGCCTGTCCAGTTTGAGGATGGACAAAAGATTGTTGTGCAAGGAGAGCCTGGAGATGAGTTCTTCATCATCTTAGAGGTATCCACTTGATTCATTAGTCTCCTTTTACGCACATTGAAGGTCCCGCGTTGTACTGCTTTATGACATATTAGTATTAGTCTCACTTGTCTCCAGAATATTTCACGTTTCAAAGCGTTATTTTGTTTTTTGAGCCACACGTTTGTATATCTGTGGTTTGGCGCTCATTCAGTTCAGTGAGGTCAGAGTGCACGGCTGCTGACACTCATGCACGAGACACTCTGTGGCTTCTTTCTTTGTGTGTGGATATTTCACTTTTGAATAGAACTAAATTCTCAGCACAGTGTTTGTGAATGCAGAGTTTGTTCGACTACCTCGCAGCTATAAAAATCTCAATTTCAGCAGTGCAGTGCATTACTATGTTAGCAGTTTCCCCTTGTAGTTAGTGTCTTTAAACTCAATATTTTCTGATCACAATGTTTTCTGGAAACAGATAAATATGTACATGAGTGTGAAGTGCAGGACAGGAGAAGACACACTCAGCTGGATTTCTGTTCAGCATTTGAATGTAACGGAAACACGTAAAATGACATGAACACGCACGTCTCTACTTCTCTGTTGGTTATGAATCAGCCCTTTTTCTACACTTTGTGGTTGTCTCTCATCGTTATGTTGCCCACAGACCTCTGAACTGTGTGCGTACTAATTAGGTCACATGAGCCCTCCCTAGGAAACAACAGGATTTCCTTTTCCTATGGTGACATGATTGGCTAATGTAATTCACTGAGCTTTCAGTTCTTAAGGTGACAGGAATACATGAAAGTGTTAGTTTGGTTAGTTGTGGGCTGTATTTTCAACGCTTTGCTTGGTGTCACGCAGACCTTTTTCATATTTTCTTTATTTTAAGCAACCAGATTCCAGAAATGACCCAAACTAACTTTGGCAAACACTGGCTTCCTGTGCAGCTCTGATGTTTAACAGCTTTTAGTGCGATACACAATAATTGTGCTCATATCCTAAAGTCACACAAACAAACTTCAGCAGCTTTGTGTTCAGCAGTGTTAAATTACTGCTTTCTTTTTCATCAAAGTCTGACGGCTTTAAGAGAGATGGAGGCTTCAGTTCCTCTTCAGAAAGAGCTGTGTGACAGCAGCGTACGCCCAGACAACACTTTAAATATATCCAGCAGTTGAAATCCTTTTTTCTTTTTTCTGTTTTTTTTGGCCAAAGTATGTCTTGCTGCTGGTAGTGCACACCAGTATGTTTAGCATCAGTGCTAGCAGCATGCCAGCAGGGAGAGGGTAGGGTCATAGGTGAATCTTTGCTCAGCTTCCTTTGGTTACCTGGTTTATATATCTTGTAATGCTGGCAGCAAGCAACATTTTACATTTCTGTAAATGTAAATGGCTACTTTATCAAACATTTGTCAATGACTTGAATGACCTTGTCTGCTCCTGCTTTTCTGCCATATTTACATAAACTAATGAGCCGCACAAAGCTACAAAATGACATAAATATGACTAATTTTAAACTGAATCATGCAAAGCTGCTCTATGAATAAATATAAGTGGCTGGAACAATATCTCCCCTTTAGTGCTTACAGTTGTTGACCTGTGTTTCCACACACTCCCCCTTGTGGTCATGTATGTGATTGACAGATGACCGGTCTCTGTTAGTGTCAGAAAGTTAATTCACAGGAAAAAATGGAATAATCCCATACTATGGAATATTTCAGTTCCAGCTTAGTTTTTCTTTATCTGCGTTATTCCAACATGGACATCTTTAGCTTTAAGTTTGTTATGAAGTTGTTACAACTTTTTTGTTTTTTCTTTACTGTAGTTTTTATAAAAATGTACCACTGAACAAAATAAGCATTGTTTTAAACAACTAAAACACTCATTAGTCGCAGTCTTGATTCATCAATGTACTAAAAGCACTTTTATGATAATAAGCTGATGTTTGTGTGTTTTTCAGGGCTCTGCGGCTGTGCTGCAGCGTCGCTCAGAGAATGAGGAGTTTGTGGAAGTTGGGAGATTAGGACCATCAGACTACTTTGGTAAGAACTAAAGTGTTACACAGGAGTCTTTTACATATATATGCATGTATGTAAGTATGTGTCATGCCATTAACTCAGTAGTTTTTTATTTTAAATAACAAAAAAAGATAGGGAGCATTAAAAATGGTGGAAAAACAGATCTTTGTGACTATGACCAACACTATATTTCTGTATACATGTCTCTGTGTGTGACACTGAAGGATGTTTTCATGTATTTTGAATTTTAAGTCTGTGACACTTGTTTTTTTTTTTTCCCCAGGTGAGATTGCTCTGCTGATGAACCGCCCCCGCGCCGCCACCGTGGTTGCCCGCGGCCCCCTGAAGTGCGTCAAGCTCGATCGGCCTCGCTTCGAGCGTGTCCTGGGTCCCTGCTCAGACATCCTCAAACGCAACATCCAACAGTACAACAGCTTTGTGTCGCTGTCTGTCTGAGGGAGCGTTTCTCCTCACACTCACTTCTCCGCCCCCGCCGCACCCTCTCCACCTCTTCTTCTCTCCTTTCAGACCCAGGGGTCCACCAGTGCTTTTCTTTTTTTGTTAGGTTTTTTTTTTGCTTTCTGTCACTTTCTTCTGATTTCAGTTCCCCCATTCCCAGTCTTAATTTCACACACAAATCATTTTATTGTTCCCACCGGTCACGCTGCTGTGACTGTTTTTTGTTTTTGTTTTTTTTTTAGCCATTCACCAGCGCTTGTACCAGCTGCTGTACGCTACCTTGTAGGCACAGTTACACCACATGTAACTTATGTTATATATGTATCTGCTGATTAAGCTTCTTTTTTTCGATACGAAGCGGGAGATCTGAAAGGTTCTCAGACTGATGAGACAGACAATCAGACTTTACATTGCGCTTTCAGTAAAATTATTATTATTTTTGTTGCAGACTGAAGTGAAGAAAAGTTTCCTTTGTTGTCGGGTTTTTTTTGTTTTTGTTTTTTTGGGTTTTTTGGGTTTTTTTGGACATCAATTAGCTTGACTACACACACAGAGAGAGCAGAACCGAGAAACTGTAGAGGGCGTGAAGATCTAATGCTCGACTTTGGTTACCGTTTGATTGGTACGACGAGAAAACAATGTCTCTTTTAGTTCAAGAGAGCTTGTACAACAAATATTTTTTATTGTGCAGCTACCAGGCTCGTGCCAAATGTTGATTACTGTCATTCAATGCAAAGATGCATAGCCGTGGGAATGCAATGCGTGCTCTGTTCCAAACAGGAAGTAGTTATCACCCTGTAGTCATCTTAATCAATAGGACGACCATACAAGAACTGCCTTGACTACTCTGAGGAAAATAAATAAATAAATAAAAAGAAAGGAAGACAAAAAAAAAAGAGTATTAAGTGTATTTCAGTATTCAGTTTCTTTAGTATATACCAAATAACTTGGTCACTCTTCTGCTATGGTTTGTAATCAAAATGTTATAGTATAGTTAAAATGATCCTAGTTATATTATTATCATTGACTAAATGATAAACTTATGGTTTGGAGTGATGGTGATTGTTTAAAAAAAAAATATGTTGAACTTTGTCTTTTTGTAAACACTTATTTTTCCATAAATTCTATTTTAGGTGTCCAGTGCCACAAAGTAAAAATAAATGCTTCTTCTTGTCAACTGATGAAACAGTATGTAATTGTATTGTGTAAAATGTCATGGGTAAAAACTTTTTAAAATAGATCAAAGGGATAATTAAAGGTTTATCGAAGCGGGGAGTACAAAGCGGTTTTAAAGGATTTTTCAGGACATCTGAAGTATTTCTGTTTCACAGCTCGGTACGGGCGAGTTGACAGGCAGAGCGAGCGGATATTTATTTAAAACTAGTGTCATTGCTTATTGCCTATTTGAAAAGGTGGCTGTCTTTTCATCAGAGTAGCTTGTGACCTGTTCTCTATGCTTACCTGGCATGATGTTTTAGGCATCCAGTGATCTGGTATGAATGGAAGTGTGTATTTAAAAAAAAAAAAAGAAAAAAAGAAAAAGAAAGGGAAAAAAAAGTCCTGCAGATGCAGGAACCCTGTCGAATATTTGGTTTGTTACTCCTTAGCTGAACTGCTTCACAACTATTTAGATGCCATAATAAAATGAAATATTTCTTTTAAAAAACAAACAAACAAATGGACAAAAAAAAAAAAAACCTTTACCAAATCACATGATGTTGACTTCTGGATTCTACGCTTAACTCTACATTCCTGCATCACTGTCTGTTAACAGAGATGACCTGTAATCATGTTTCTTTTGGTTCTCATTCAGAGCGTTTGTACTCGCTTACAGCTGAGATGTGTGTTTGGTTTTATGTGCCGATTGCAGGGTAGTCAGGTTGGTGAGAAGACCTCATGGATGTGAGTGTATGTTTCTTCACGCTTAAATCTGATCATCATGCCCCTAACCCTCAGGTTAAACCTTGCGGATGTGGCTTACCTGTGGATTTGTGTCCACTGACAACACATCTGGGAAATGGCTCCGTTAGGGGTGAGGGTTTCACCTTTCTGTCAGAATATTGTTTTCGTGTAAATAGCTGCATCATTGGTTTGAGTCCAAAACGTTTTTAGCCACACTGCAGTCGTCCCAGTTTGCCTTAGCTTACCTAACCTGGGCTTACAGTAGAAGTCAGTCACTCCTGCTAGCCCGACCTTCAGTGAGTTTGTTAGGCCTGCAGCACAGATAGCTGCAGATTATAAGAGGACCATTCTTTTTCTATTCTGTCCTGTATTTAGTTTGACCTCCTGTATGTGCAAAGATGTTTATCCTTTTGGTATAGATTGTTCCAGATGGCAGTTTAAGCAATAAAATAGTAAAAAAGAAACTCTGCTTTGTCTCAGACTTCTTCCTTTGTAGACTTGCAATACTGTGCAGGGTTCTTCATTAGACATTGGCTGCTTGATCACTCATTTCCAGTCCAGTCCTCATACCTGACCATTTTCAGAAGAGTAGTTTTGTTTAAGCCACTTAACATGGACCTGTGAATCATTGAAACTAAAAGGATTGACCAGTGTCGTGTCTACACAACATAACAGATAACTTAAAATCTTGTAGATTGTGGGCATTTTGTTACGAGCAGCCTGTTTTTGTTTGTTTTTAATCTGTTCTCATTTCTTTAGTTCACTGAATGAAAAATGTCCAAGATAAAACACAGTTTGACAGGTGTACAATAGTATTTTTGCACCAACAAGCTGAGCTTTTACCCAGAAACTTGCTATATCTCAGCATGGTGTCAAATGTGTTTAAAACATTGAGGAAACTCGACAAATGGAGGACAGAAGAAGGCATTGCTGACTCAAAAGCTATCTACGGCAGATGAACAGTATCTGAATGTCACGTGTCCTAATAAGAAATAGGAAGAAAAATATGTATCTCATACTGTTCACTGAAGGCTCATCAGAAATGGTCTCAGTGGAAGTGTGGCTGTCAAGAAGGTGTTCTTAAGAAAGAGAAAAAGCTGAGGAGAGAGGTACTACAGTGAGTGTCTACAGCCATCGCAGTGGAGGCTGTCATGGTTTGTGGCTGCATTTTCAGCCAGTGGTGTGGGAGATCCTGTCCAAACTGATGGAATTATGACCTTAGAAAAGTACTGTCAGATTTTGATCCACCATTCAATATCACCTGGAAAGAATCTGATAGCCACTGGTTTAATTTTTAAACATACGATGCTGGGAAAACGTACCAAACACACAGTGCAACACTATCAGTCATGGACCGGCCTCCTTCAAGCCTGGATTGCAACATTTTGGAAGCAGTGTGGGATCATGTTGACATAGAGAACAGAACGAAAGTCAGTCAAAGAAGAGCTTTGAATGTCCTTCAAGAAGCCTGGAGAACTACCCCTGAAGACTATTTAAAGAAAGCTGCCTAAGAGAGTTCAGGCTGTGCTGAAGAATTAAGGTGGTCACAACAAATATTGACTTTCAAGCTCATTAAAATTGTACAAACTTTTGCTTTATATACTGTATGTACATGTATGTTTGCATATTTCACTAAATCACTACACCTATTTTTCATTTTCTTAGTGAAACAAAGTAATGACTGGTGTTTCGAGACTTTTACACAGTACAATGTATAATCCTTGTAATAATTGTAGTGTAATAGCTTTAGGTGCTTTAATAATTACTTGGATAGTTTAAGACATTAGAATATACTAATTAACTGTGACAAATAACTGTGAAATACATGTTTTCCTCAGGAAGATTCCTTGCATCACAATATCATCATTACAAGACTATTTTAAGAATTTAATTATTAAATTGGAGCCGATGGTGGACAGATCTGTTTCTGTTTTTGTCTGAGTCCAAACGTCATTCTTCTTATTTCATAAAATACCCAACCAGCAGTTCAACACCTCGAAATATCCAATAGTAAAGTTTAAAAAAAGCACCTGTCCGCCATGTCCCTGTATTTTCAAAAAGATGTAATATCAAATTTGCACACTAGGTGGAGGTATTGCACAGAAAAATAAACAACATTGATTTGCTCAACAAGCAAAAGCCCAAATTAAACAATTTAAACAACAGATACAATTCTTCATTCCTCATTTGAGAATGTTGTCCAGTTTATAATAAATTTGTTTCTTTCTCAAGCTTTTTAAAACTCCGTCTTTAGCAGATATTATTCAACTGAGCACATTTAAAGTTAGATTGTTGTATTTGGCACTATGACCCAACATTTATATTTCTCTAAACTTTAGCTACTGGTTATTTGGAAATCCTCTCTGGGCTTTCCTTTGGTAAATGTTTTATTTTAGACATTCATTCACTGAAAGCTTTTAGAGAAGGCGTATTGTAAAAATGCTTCGGTATGAAGGGATTTACCTGTGCTCGAGGGCCTGTTTTAAGTAAAGGATCCTTATCAGCCACTCTGTCTGCTTTGTCAAGCTCAAGTCTGACTCCACTTGGCTCTAAAGTCTCTTAAAAATAGTTGTGGTTATTTATCTTACTCTACATCACAGAGCAACGCAGACTTATCAGGTTAGTTGGAGGAGAACAAAGGGAATGAACAGGTCAAAGCTCTGACATGTTCAGACGAAAACCTCACACTCACAAATTTATACCAGGAATAAGTGCGCTTGGGTGAGAGTTATTTGTGTGGTGCAACGAAATGCATATTTGCTAATTGCCTTGGGTTTGCTGTTTCTGTATCCTTGCCTGGCGGAGCTGACGGTGACGTTGTGAAGCTGTTTAAACACTCTGATGAGACGGAGGATTACAAGTCTGGAAAACAGGGTGGAGTAAACTAAGTGGCTGTTTAATAGGTAGCACTTTTCTCACAAACATATGTCTGAGCGCACACACATACAGTCTGCCGCTCTAAGGTGATAACTTCTCCTCAGAACTTGCAGAATCATCACATAAAGACTTTATTTTCTGATTATATGTCACGGACGCGCAGAGCTCTCTTTCCACATCCACAGTGTAAACCAGCAATCATTTAAAAAAAGAAAGAAGCTGATCCAGTGGTGGCTCTACGTATCAGATGCTGTAAGTTTCCACTCACAAAGCTTCATTTTATTTCATTTAAAAAAACAAAAAAAAACAAAACAGGGTCTTTATTTAAACATGTGAAGGTGTCAGAGATTCCTTCTTTCTGTGATGAAGACTCACGGCTTTTTCCTCGAGTCTTATTTATACAAGTCTCTTCCCGAGCAGCCAGAAGCCGAGCGCATCCTCTGTTACCTTTGCATTGTCCCGTCTGTGGCAGCCTCGGGAGTCACTGTGGATTTAACAAAGTCCTCAGTGATCACTTCGTCTTTGCCCAGCCTCCGGACGCACCGGTGGACCACTCGGAGGACCTTCTGCAACCTGCGGTCCAGGGCCAACAGGTGGGGCTCTGTCAGGATGGGCCTTAAAGAGTCTTCCTGCAGGGACTCCCTCATCACATCACTGAGCCTGAACTCTGATTGGGCCAGGAGCTGCAGCCTCAGCAGGGTGGATTGCTTTATCCTGGGGGTAAGAGGACAGGGCAGAACACATGATCAACAGGAGAAGAGAAATTAGTTTCCTTAATTCCTTGACAGATTTCATTACATTTTTTTTTTACTTATGCCCTTATGTACACAACTTCCATAGACTGAGTAATACTCACATGCAGCACTGGGACAGTGGAGACAGGATGGACATCTCATCTTTAGCGTGCTTCCCAAACCTGGTGCATAAACAACACACACGTTAAACCCCGACAGCGAACAAAAGCAGCATCATTCAGTGCTCAGCAGCGGTTCTGTCTCACCCTCTGGCATTGTCCAAGTGAAGAAGGAAGCCTTCATCCCCAAACTTGGTAAAAATCTCATAGTGGTGTCTGTCCATGTTCCCTGTAACAAAGGCGTGACTTTAGCGAGGGGAACAAACCTCTACACATGTAGCTAGATTGCCGCAATATAAAATATCTGATGCTACATGAACAGTTTATAATGCAGAGGTAATGAAATACCTATGAGAAAGTCGAAGATGGACATGTCTATGATGTTTAGGAGCCTGTTTCCTGAGTTATAGGGGTACTGCTGCTTTATTGTGTCGCAGTAGAAAGGATTCACTTCCCACCTTTTGAAAGAAGCATAAACGAGAGGAAATTAAAAGGAGCCGATGGAGAATATTCTTTGGAAAATGAAGCAATTAAAATAAATTAGCCACAACTTTTTATTGCTCACTTTCAATGTGATGATCCAGCAAAACAAAGGGATGTTTAACACTGTGTTACCTCCCTCATTTCTTAACACTCTGCAAGCATTCAGAACTGAGTAGACAGATGCTGTATTTTATTTTATTTTATTTACGTCTTAACAGTTTAGTGCTTGCTTTGCCACATTTTTTAATTTCACAAGGCCCCAAATGTAATTAACTGGTAATAACACTACAGACCTGTGGTAATTGCAGAATCTGGTTAGTCTTGCAAAAATAAGCAAAATCTTCCCTTTAAAAGGCATCAACTGGATGTATGATGCTCTAAAATGCATTATACAGTGCAATGTTAATGTGTTATTACAATGATGTAACCTGATAACAGAGTCAGGAGGCCTCTAAACTGCATTATTTATTTTGTGTGACAAAGTCACTGAGGGTTTATTTTAATGATATAAAACAGGAAGTGGTTTTCATTTGACTGGTGCAATCTGACTTTGGAGGCCTTAAAAACAATGGATGCTATAGTAAATAAAAGAGTCTTTGAAATCTTGCACTCTGATTTATGGAAAATGACACTCATGTTTTAGTAGCAAGAAGTATCCATTAAATTGACTGTATATACACAGCAGAGATATTGTTGTCTTATTATTATTATATTTTCCTGAATTCCACCGCCACTACTTATTCTTGTTTAAAGTGACTAAAACTAAAATATTCTATATCAAAATTAAAAACTTAAATGAGAAGTTTTATAAAGAATTGTGATCCGAGTCACAGAACAGTAACCACAGCAGCAATTAGTAGCAAAATACAGAAAATTATTATTGTTCCAGTTTTCAAAAACCGGCAGGATGTGATGGACACCACTTTCTTGGAATGACTTGAGGACATCTGTTCCTGCAGGATGGAGCCTTAATTTTGTCCTCAGTGAGCTTCCATAGATTCTCGACTGCATTAAGATAAGGACTCTGAGACAAGCGTCTCATTATTTTAACGTTATCAGGTTGAAGGGAGCGGTTTTAGCTGCTTTGCAGTGTGACAGAGTACATCATCGTCCATAAAAATTGCTAACTGATTAGAATCTAGGCAGGACAGGAAGAGTGTGTTGGTTAAGGAGCTTCTGATAAATGTGGAATTTATTGCTTCCTGTCTGGATAAACTAAATGAAACTAACTCTCATAACTAAAGTGATGTTTGGACCGGTTCTCTGTTGTCTACATGGCAAGATTTGGCCTAACCTAAGTTGATGACAGGCTTGGTCACTGGAAAACAGACTTTAAGTCTAAAATCTTGCAGGCAACAGTGGACTGTGTGCCAAGAATGAAGTTGAATGCACTGTTTACCAGTGAATTTACAAGCATTCTGCATAATAACTGGTGTCAGTAAAGCTGAAATCATTTAAGAATTTGGCTCGTGCATCAACCAGCTTGTCTTGCAACTGCTGAAAAATTCATCCGTTCAGCCTCAAGCTGAACAACTGCCATCAACAACTGCCAGCTCACCATTTTGCAGAATGCTTGCTGGCAGTTAAACAGTTTTGTGCTGCATTAAAAAAAAAAAAGAGGTCTTACTCCTCCCGTCCGGTGAAGGTGTAGGAACGGATCCACGGGCTGGGGATGGAGATGCGTGGAGCAATGCTGAGGCCCGGCAGGTAGGCGGACAGGGAGCCCTCCAGCAGGTCGGGGCTCCCGCACGCTGCATATTCTGTCTTGCACACATACAGGCACTTGGCAAAGAAACACGTGTTGTTTGCTGTTTGGGAAGCAGAACAAAAACGGAAGAATGCAAAATGAGTTTTTCTGTTCACTTCCGATTACATGCTTTCCGATCAGCTCTGCCTTTCCCTCTAGCTGGATGCCATATCAACAGCAAGGAAAAACACAAACAAACATCAAACTGAGTAAAAAATAACTCACGGATCAGCTTAGCTTCACGCAGACATGCTTGTTTGCAAAGATATGCAAAGGGCAAAGATAAACAAGCTGCCGATCAGATGCACAGCTACTGAGAAACACTATTCATGTGTCAATCAAGTATTTGAACTATTGTAAAGGAGTTTATATTTAACATACAGGCATAAGCGTTGAGTCTAATCTAAAGGTATTACTTTGAGGAACTGATGTGTTTTTTTTTTTTACCTGGGGAGGTGAAGAACACAGCTCGCAGGTCTTCATTCTGGGTTACTTTTAGGACTTCACTAGTGATGTTCACCAACCTGCCAACCACTGGAGGAACTCTCCGGAAGTCTAGGATCCTAGAAAATATATTGATGTGATTCAGAGGAAAACCTTTTACTCGTGTAGGGAGACAGCTCGTGCTGGCATAAATATTAATGCAGCGTAAACCTTCCAAAGGTGATGGTAGTCTTATCTAACTTTAAATCCTCATCTCACAGGAGCCCACGCTCCACTTTCACTGATTTTACTGATTCTTATCAGTGAATGAGTCCGCTTGACAGCCGCCGTGCTGTGTAATCCAGCTGGCTGCGTTCATATAAACTATCGAGAGCTTGTACTCCCCAGAGGCAGAGTTTTAGTCACGTCTCGCAAATAGTAATCAAACAATAATCAGGGTGTCATGCCGAATTGCTGTTTCTAAAATGGTTGGCATTCCCCAGCCCCTGATTGCGAGTGATAATGATGAGGGCTTCTGGCAAGTGAGACACAACGAGAGAGAGAGGCAACACACTGCCACAGATTACACATAGCAAATTAAAATTTAAAAAAAAGAAAACAGGAACAGGAATTGAACAACATTCTCACTTTTTAAAGAATAACAGATAAAGTATGAGCAGATAAGGTGAAAAGGCACTGTTTGAGAGTAATTACAGTAATTGTTCGAGCTGTTGACGTGGTGCTGGAGTTGTTTTCTGTCTGTGACTTAACACTGTGTGTGTGTGGGTCTGTTAATGATACCGTCTAGTTCAGATGAGTGAATCACCTCGCCTCAGCTAATGTGTAATTGCATAAAGATAAGTGTGTCCTCATCTGTGTCCAAACACTGTGGTTTGAACTGATCAGCAAGTTTCGAAATCTGAGGGTGTGCCAAAATGTTGCAATCTTTTTCGAGGCTCCATGATACATTCGTTTGCACAGGGGGACCTGTTTTTTTAGACTTAATTGTTGGAGACGGTTTGGGATTTTAAGGATGTTTTTGAATCTCGCTGTTACAAGAATGCTGCCACATCGTCTCTGAGGATTCTTTAATTTCATCACTTCCACTCTAAGACATAATGGATGGATCCATAAATCTAAAAATGGATTATTATTATAGGGTCTTTACCTTACAAAATCATAAGTGCCTTTAGATGACTGTTGTAGTGATTTGGCGCTAGAGAAAAAAAAAACTGAATTAAATTGGATTCATTTATGGTCAATTTTAGGATTTTTGTTTTATACATTTTAGAAAGAGTTTCACAAAGTTTAGACCCGATCCTAACATCAGGATGTAAAATTCAGCATGGAAATGGAAAAATCTAAAATAAGAATTTTGTGAATGGTCACTTGGGGCAAATTCTTATATAACATACCCACAAAAAAAGTTTGCCAAGGCTCAGAGTTGAATCATTAGGAGGACGACTACTTTCACTCATACTTTGTGTCATGGTTGTGGGTCTTTGATCCAGGTTTATGAAGTTGTTTCAACTTTCTTATTCTCTGGAGTTGTGAGATGGTTATGTTTAGTTAGGAGCTTCTGCGCTTTGGTTATGTTCTAGTTTTGGTTATTGCTTGCTTTTATGTCTGTTCCCCTTTTCATGTCCAGTCTGTGTTTTGTCTTCCCAGTCTGTTGTGTGTTTCCATGTCTGTTTATCCTCTGTCCCAGTAAGCTAACATGTCCTTGTCTGAGTCTCAGTGTGCATGTCACTTCCTGTTTTATTTTGACAGTCCCTTGTCTCAAGTGAATTATGTTCAGTTATGTTTCCCCTGTTTCGTTAGTTGCATTTGTTCCAGCTGCATGCCACCTGTTGCTCAGCCTCTCGTCATCCTGTGTCTCCCTCCGTTCCTTGTCGTGTGTGTGTTTGTGTCTCTGTTTATTCATTTACAGATTCCAGTTTAGTAATAAAGGTGTTTAAATGCAATTTTCATCTGCATGTCTGCAATTTGGGTCCGCAAAACTGCCAGCCACAAATTGATACATGACACTTTGATGTTAACACAAGCAGTTGTAGTTGCTAGACACATCTGCCAAGTGAAGTGAAGTAACTAAAATGCACCTCTCGACCATTCGGGCGATCGTGGCTCAAGAGTTGAGTGTTCATCTTATAATCGGAAGGTTGCCGGTTCGAGCCCCGGCTCGGACAGTCTCGGTCGTTGTGTCCTTGGGCAAGACACTTCACCTACTGCCTACTGGTGATGGCCAGAGGGGCCGATGGCACGATATGACAGCCTCGCCTCTGTCAGTCTGCCCCACGGCAGCTGTGGTTACAACTGTAGCTTGCCTTCACTAGTGTATGAATGTGAGAGTGAATGAATAGTGGTATTGTAAAGCGCTTTGAGGGGTCCCGAAAAAGTGCTATATAAATGCAATCCATTATTATTATGTTTGCAGTGCCTTTCGGAGCATTTTTAATGCAATTATTTATTCATTAGCACTAATTAGCAAACATTTGTGTATGTGGATGCAGCTTGCTAGCCTAGCTAGCTAGCATTTGGGATAACTAAGAATTTTGTCACCTTCCTCAAATGCGATTTTTTTCTGGCTTCATAATAACAAAATTGAGCCTTTAGAATAGAAGTTAAAAAATGTGATGTCATGCATCCATCTTTTATATACAGTCTATTGTTGAGTGTCCAAATACTGTCATCTAACCATGTGGATTTTAAGCTTGTTTGTTTACTATATTCACATTCTTAATGTAACCAATCACAAACCAAGGCGGAGCTTACCCCAGCTGTCATAATGTAAGAGGTGGGGTACATCCTGGCCAGTCTGTCACAGGGCAAACACAGACACTCACATTTACACCTATGGGCAATTTAGAACCACAAATTAACCTAACCCCACTAACTGCATGTTCTTTGGACTGTGGGAGGAAGCTGAAGTACCCACACAGACATGGTGAGAATGAGGAAAGTCCACACAAAAAAGGCCATGGCCAGATAGTGGATTAAAACCCAGGAACTTCTTGGTGTGGAGCAACAGTGCAAATCATTGCACCACCATGCTGCCTGCTGTGATGACATCAGTCACTGAAGTTATTTAGAGGCACAGAGGTGGCAGAGCCTAGCTGGCATACAGCTAGAGGCAGGGTACACCACAGACAGATAGCCAGTCTATTGCAGTGTATTGGCACTGCAATAGACTGGCTATCTGTCCACAGCTGTCACTCACATTCATACCTTCTGGCTATTTAGACTCACTAATTAACCCAAAATGCAAGTCTTCTGACTGTGGGAGGAAGCTGGGGCTGGCTTTTGGTCATTTTTATGGGTTATAATGAAATCTGGATCAGATGTTATCGTTCCCCTCAAGAAATGAATTGGATAATTGACTAAGAAAAAAAGAAAATGAATCAAAGTGATAAATAAGCTTTTTTTCCTCCCATTTGGTCGCATTCGTCCTCCCTCCAAAAACAGTCATAGTACCTTTGTATATACAAGGACGTAACTGAGATCAATAAAATAACATGTGTGCAATCAAAACTAAAATTAACCCCAGCAAGCAAAGCAGTCATATAACCACAGTGAGAGGACACTAAAATTACCCAGTCTAACAGACGAAGACGTGAAAACAGTGAGGGATAATGAGGCTGCACCTGTCCAGATGAAAAGCAGCAATCTCTGCATTGTGTCTCTGAAGGTCAACGAAATAGAAGACGTCTTCTGGAGTCTCCTCGTCCCTCTGCTGCCTGACACACACACACAGACACACACACATGCACGCACAGCGTGCGTGATCAAACTGATCAAAAAGAGCGATCAAACTGTCAGTTCCAACACTCTGCAATATATAATCAAGACATTACAGATGGCCAACTCGGGGCTTTTGACTGACATAAATTCACACAGAACATGACATAGACCGAGTACTGTAATAGCATGCTATGTAAGCTAACTCAGCATTTCATGTTTTTGTGTGATTTCATTGATTTCACCAACTGAAAATGACCAACTAGATTTCCTCACCTCATTGGTTTAAACATGGCTTTAGCTAGGTTGCGCATTTTCAGGGCCAGTTTCAGGTGATGTCCGCTGGGCTTCACCACTGCGGGAAGACACACAGAAACATGATGTGAGGTGCGAGATCAAGACGTTTTTTTGTACCACAACATTTGCCCTACATGACTTCCACTCCACACTTATCTCAATGTTTTTGGCCAGGGAAAAGCAAACAGTGAGCAGCATGCAAACTGACTCATTATTTTAAGATTTTAGATTTGCAAAATGTGAATCATTGCCTCGCCCGAGTAATAAGGTAATTGGATGCACCCTGCGCTTTCTCTGACTGGCTCCATATTGTGTCACAGCAGTAGTCCAGATCAGCACATACAAGCCCCTCCCCACAGTGCTCAGTGAAACTCCAAGTTCTTAATAGTTAACAATCAAGCAAGGTTTATAATATAAAACCATTTCTGGAAATGACTCAACGCGAATCCAACTGGCACAAACAGCTTCTGTGGCCGATGAATTATGTCGCTCTTTGACTGAAATAATGAGAAGGTTAAATTCAAACTGTGGGGGGTAGCGATTGTTTTGTTGCTTGTTTCTTCTTGGCAGTGAGTGATGTTTGTGTGGTCATGCACTTCACTGCGCAGGGATGCTGACAAAGCACAAACGAGACAGGTCAGACAAGTCAGCATGGAGGAAGAAGAAACGTAGCTGGGAGAAAAATTTGACATATAAAACCAATAATGAGCTATTTGTCCTCCTTAATGTTTACATTTCTACCTGCGACGCTTTTACAGCACTTACTTAGTGAACAGCTCAGTAGCATCTATTGTTTGGCATGTCACTAACTTTCAATTATCCATCCGTAGCTTTGGTTTGCGTGCTGCTCAGAAGTAAAGTAGGAGATGGCAGCGTAGGTGGTAAGAAACGTTGGCTTCCCTCGGCGCGTGCAGACATCAAACGCTTAATTAGGAGCTCTGCCTTTGACTAATTCCTGGGTTTTATTTGCCCCCAGAGCAAAGTGTCTTATACAGAAAGACAAATCTGGATTTTGGTGCCAATAGAAAAACCAAAAATCCTCACTATCACAAAGGCAACAGTGTGTTTGTCTCTCATGGTACTGCCAAGCAGAAAAGGCAGAGTGAGAGAGAGGCAGACAAACAAAAAGAGAAACAAAGAGGCTAGTGAGAAATCAGACTCATGCAGTTGCACAACATGAGATATGAGGTAAAGAAAATAAAAGCCCAAAGTCCCCGAACGGATAAAAGGCTCATTACAGGTGGCGATAACGTTGTCGTACCTTGGGTGCAATCACACGCTCCTTTTAGGGCTTTCTCATCTTGAGTGTAATCTGTAAGACAATGAACTTGTTAGGTAATAAATTAGCACACTTAGTGCAGGGAATGTACCTGTCTAATTACAGAAAAGTAATGGGTGCTAGATTTACCATCTGCATAAAACGCTAGCTGAACAGTCCTTATTGTAAAAAACATTAGAGTCCTGTGCTGTAAAGGAGCTTTACAATACAATACAATCAGCTGTTGGGTTGCTCTTGTACTGATATTATATCTTTCCTACTGTAGACTTCATAAAACCTATAAAGAAAGGCATATAATTGTACAAAACTCCTTTATATTAACAGAAGCGTTTTTCATTGCATATTTATTCAATTATACTGCACTACGTGTAAAATTCCACCCAGTTCACAAAATTAGACCCCATGAGGGATATGACAGTACAGCATAAACACAGGAAGCCGATACTCTTTCCCTGACATCATCGAGCTAGATGCTCCAAATCCCATCTGACCTTCACCTGCACTGATAACTGTCATGCTCTGCATGTCCTTGACAAGCTGAAGGACAGTAGGGTCATCGCGGGAGTACAGAGCATAGCGGTTTATTCCCAGGTGGAACTTCAGCCAGCTGGCATCAGGGTCGTAGGTCACCTCATGCTTAGTCACAGTGATGTTAGCCAGAGCTGCTGCCACACTGTAGAGCTTCATATGTCTGAGGAAGACGAATAACACATAGGACAGATGTTAGCTGTGGGATACAGGATGCTGTCAACTCCCTATTACCAGAGCCCTAAATAAATGGTTAACATTTGTAAACACATCAATTTTCTGTAAAGCCATTGTTAATCCTATGTTATTTAAAACAACAGAGTAGCTGATTTAAAGAGATGCTTACACTGAACCTAAGATGACAAGCTTAAGAACTGCTGGTAGGGACTGACAGGCAGGCATCTGAGTGTTATTAATATGTATTAACTAAGATATTCACCATATAAAGCATGCTATTTATTTTGCTTTACCCTGCCTGTAGATGCTGCTTCCTCTGCATGCCACTTTGCAACCCAATCTTCTTTTGAAAAGAGTTGTCCTGACTGTATTAAATAATTATGGTTAGTATTTTATTTTGCATGGGCCACAGATTTGGAGCTGCGTGCTTTGGTGCCAGACTTTCCTGGCATAAAGTCACATTCAACAGGTTTTTTGGAGCTTGTCATACATTAAAGCAAAGGAAAGAAAAACATGTTGTGTTATAAAGTACTTGTTCTATTTACCACTTTACTCCTGCCTGCATTAGTCATTTATAGTCAGCCAAGTTTTATTAGTCTCTTACATACAGGCTTTTTACTGTTTCTAAATTGAGTTTTAACAAATCTAAACTGCCCAGCCCCCTTTCCCCTCCAAGTAGGAATAAGAAAAAACTGATACCAAAAGAAATACTGTCTGTGGTAAGAGGGGCACCACATGACAAGGGCTGACCACAGTGAGTGGGATTGCCATTTCTCCACCAAAACAAACTCCATCACAGACTGGATAACAAAATGAGATAATGGAGCAAAGCGCTAAGAATAGAAGTTTGTTTTTCTGTCATTCCTACCACCTCATTCATTTAATTTGAAGTGACACAGAGTAATCAGGACGCTGGACAAGTGCAGACCGCAGAGCGTGCATCCAAACACACACTGTGGGAAACAGATAAGTCACGAATGCACACAACAAATGCAGTCTCTGTCAAAAAGTGCAGTAGATACGATGTTTAGACACTGTTGCAATATTTTGCAATAACAAGCCTGTGAGCTGCCTTTTTTTTAGTGCACATTTGTAAGGCAGCACAGTGGGGAGATCCATTGCTCATAATTCTTCTTATTTTCCACTGTGAGAGCCCAATATCTATATCTCTCTGAGGGAGACAGACAGACAGCCTCACAAGCCAAGACAGCTACAACTCCCAAAGATTGAGATGGGCTCCGGCAGTTTTAAAAATCCTTGTTTACCTTAAAGAAACCGTTCCAGATGCTGGCTCTCAGAAGTGACGTGTTTGTCAGGGTTTTTTGACCCAGCCCACATGACACTGGAGTTTTTTATGACGCACAGAATTGTCTACAGATCCGGATGTCTGCCTGTGGGTGTATGCCTGTCACCACGAACAAAGTGCATCCAAGTTCATGGATATGTGTTTGTGTGTGTGCCTCGGGTGGGTTTGGCCCCAGTGTCACTGACCCTGCCTCCTGACCACAGTCAAGCCTCAACACGTGCTACCACAGTGGGAACTCTGAGCCAAAACGAACACGCGATTTAACAATAAAGTGAAGTAACTCCGTCAAGTCACGCGTTGCAAAATCAGTGGCATTATTGTCACAACAAACAATATCTTAATTTAGAATGATGAAACATGACACCAGAAACTGACCTTTCCCAGTGCGACACCTTCCTCCTATAGTAGTCAATCAGCTGTTCCACCTGCAGCAGTCTCTCTTCTGGCCCCAGAGCCGGAGTCTGGATGTTGTATAGAGGGTGAGAGAAAAGCCTCACCAGTTTTGAGCCTCCGTACGCAGGCTCAGACGTGGTGCCGTCCAGGAGTGGTGCAGAAGTCCAGTTGGAGAGCTGCGGCGTGGCCAGACCCCCCTGGCTGGGGGGGAGGGTGAGTTGGTTGGGGCCACATGAGCAGGAGTGTCCCGATGTCAGGCCCTTGCTCCGCATCTTTGGCAAGAGGATGAAGTAGAGGTCGGCGGAGAAGACGGCCGTGAGGGTCACAGCTAAAAAGATGCGATCTCTTCTCATCATTGAAACAGAAAGAGGGGGGTATGGG